TAGCTACTTCCGCGCGGTTTCACTCGCTCTGCTTGGCGTCTATAAATGGTAGCGTGATATTTTATAGCTTATAGTCTTCCTCGATAAATGGGCTATCCAACACAGAAAGAATTTTTTAAATCGGACAAATAGTTTCGGAGATTAGCGCCTTCAAACAAAAAAAACAAACTCTTCAGCTTTATAATATTAGTATAGATGTAGAAGGAGGATAGCTTGTTGATTTCTGACTTTTGTTTGTATGTATTTAAAGATTGAGATTTGAGACTGCCTCATTGGCCGAGTTATCGCAAGTGTAACTGTCGGCCAAGGGGTCTCGGGTTCGATACCCGGGTCGGGCAAAGTATAACTGCGTTTTCAAAACAATCGCAGTAGTAGCACGGAGTCTGGAATTGTGACCGGTGTATGGCAATAGGCTCACACCCTATTAAATGGGACTCATAGTGAAAAGTGGGTGTTACATTGTGCAATGGCCTTAAGTGCCGTAATGTGCACCTCTGTCTAAAACCCTTCGGGAATAAAAGGCGTGAAGTAATGTTATATGTGTATTTAAATATGGCCATGAATGATTGGTGTTTACAGAAGCACGCGCCGGACATCCACAACGACGATTACTTCCCCGTGCTGGGCGCGAGCACCAAGCGCGGCGGCGGGGGCTGGAGCACGGCCGGCGGCGGCGCCGCGCGGGACAGGGACCTCGCCGCGCCACGACACCAACTCGCGCTCGGGAACCGATTCACCTCGCTGCAGGATGATAGCTAGCCAGGTATAACACAAACACTGTACTTATAATATAGCATACTAGCAGACCCAACAGCTAAACAAAAATTCATTCAAATTAGTTCAGCTGTTTAGGATAAATAACCTAAACATCGACTGCAGCGCCATCTGCCGGGCTGATTTCTGAATCTAAACCATTCCCAGATCCCCTTGAACACACACAAAATTTCATCAAAATCAGTCCAGTCGTTTGAGAGAAGTTCAGTGACATACACACTCACAGAAGAATTATATATATAAAGATTATCATCATCCTACCAAGTACAGCTCTTGTCAGTCCTTTCACGGAGTTACAGACTTCTAAATTACAGGGGTTTGCACTAATGATAAATGATATCTTCATGCCTCTTTCTATATTTTCTCGTCCTATCGCAAACATTTGTGATAAATGTATGTCGATTACATTTTATAATTTTTTATTAAATCCCTCATTTAGACATGGTAATAGCCTATTACTAATAGGTAATATTTTCTTCAATCCTGTCTCTACTATGCATTTTAACAGTTAATTTTTGTTTGCAGGTAACACAAACCCCACAACGTGATACGCTGCAGTAAAGTGAAGTGTCATTATGGACTTGTAAGCGAAGCCTGGCGCATAGCATATACAATATTTACCACAACACACACTCATACAGAATGAACAATATGCATTTCTATGTAGCCCCATGCAGGAACCCACTCATGGCGGCCAGACAGTTGCTAACCATGAGACTGTTCTAAATTTAAACCTCTTTTTACTTCTCTACAGTGCTGTTATTTGTTAAGCCAGTAACGAATCGATTACACAATCGATACAATATTTCGACGTCCCATTCGTATGAATTGTAGACAATAAATAAATTATCGCCTAAAGTGCTTTCGGTACATTACTATGTAAGAAACACGTTTTACGAACACTCATACAAACACAACACGGCAACTGTCTTAAAAAAAGTGTAAAACAAGAAATGAATGTGCGATTTGTTATTTTTTATGTTTATATTGATAAATAAATATTAAAAAAAATGTGTCTCGTATGCGTGTAAATGGACATTTAGGGAAAAAATATTGGTGGAATTATTTATATGCAATCCTGATTATAAAGTGTTGATAATCAATAAACCAAGCGTGGAATATAGATTTTATATTTAAACAAAATTGTTATAAAAATGAAAAACGTTTTGGTATTAACATAAAGCGCTCCGGTGACCACATTGTACATTTGTTTTCATATTTCAATTATAAATTCTGTTACAGCAAATCATTGGAAATATCTTGTACCATAGAAATAAATTATGTATTTAAAACGAATGTTTCTTTTATTTACTTAAAATCTATTTATTTTTATGTTTACCCAGGTTGGGTATCTGGCAGCTGAGTCGAGTCTTCTTTGTGTGGTTCACAAATTATCTTTGTGGAAAAAAAGGAAATCTTCAATTGCCATCACGGTCTTTTACGTTTACCTCGATTGTTTTGTGTTTTTGTTGTTATTTCGGTATTATTGTAACTAAAGCCTCGTATCCACTACATAGGCAACATTTGGCGCGCGACACGTGAATCTCAACATGTACGGCAACGCTGCACAACAGCGCGCGACGTCGCCAGCTGCCGCGCAACATGACGCGCGGCTCGTTTGTTTTAGTGTATCGTTAGTTGTTCGTATCCTCGTATCCTCCTCCATCCTACTCTAATACCACCTCCATCGTAAACAAATGTTCCGCGTCAACATTCAACAAATTGAAAAACATGTTGAGCAACATGTCGCGCGTCAAATGTTGCCTGAGGCTATAACATGAATATTATTGTAAATAGACATGGCTGTCATTATTTAAATGAATATGCAAGAATTTACTAAACAAGTATAAAATTAATATGTACAGTGTACACCTTAAAATTAACTAAGGTATCATCAGAATTTTGGTTATACGAAATACATAGGACAAACAAGCTTGACTGTGTACCTTTGCGTGCATAATATATACAAAAAAGAAAAAAAATACCCCTTGGTAACGCTGTCACGCGTGAACTGCCGGACCGATTTTAATATTTTTTTCTGTACTTATGTTATTGTGAGGAGACAGTTCTTACGTCAGAAAAAAATCCTGAAAATCCTACGGGAAGTCTCTAGAAGACAAAAAACAAAATAAACTCGCGTAGATCCGTATCCCATCTGCACCACGGGCCAAACTGTTTTATAAAAGGACAAAGGACCTTTATTTCTTGACAAGCGGAAGCACCGCGCGGTTTCACTCGCTCTGCTCGGCGCCTATTAATTAATCGTGATATTTTAGCCTACATCCTTTCTCGATAAATGGGCTATCCAACACAGAAAGAATTTTTCAAATCGGACCAGTAGTTTCGGAGATTAGCGCGTTCAAACAAAAAAAAAACTTCAGCTTTATAATAATAGAATAGAATAATTTGATACTTTATCGTGCTTCAGAAGTTCAGAGCATACAATGACATCTGTCGTTCACTTCTAGAAACGTTATTAGTTTTGTACTAGCGCCATCTATTGTTGTATGAGTAACATGCTAAGAGATGTCACTGATTTGTGTCGATTAGTTACGCCAGAAATTGTAGATGGCGCTGTATTGAAAACAATATCTAGGAACATGTATTTTTCAAAATTTCAAGTATTTATGTTGTATATTTCCTGATATTTTATATGAAAATGTATGTTAATAATTAATATAGCAACTAAAAGTGGGTGTGTTCTTTTTTCGGCACAAGTTTTAGGAAATATAACACAATACTCTAAATTGCGCTATCAACATTTTCATTGAGTGGTGCCTCATATACTAAAATTCGTGCTTGACTGTCGTACTTGCTTCGGCAGTACATATACTAAAATTGGAACGATACAGAGAAGATTAGCATGGCCCCTGCGCAAGGATGACACGCAAAATCGTGAAGCGTTCCACATTTTTTGGAGAGTTTGGGTTCTAACTTATGTTCTAAATAACCCGATTTTGTTTTCTCTCCCTTGCAAAAACATAAGCGAAGGTAATGGTTTATTTTAGTTTTGCTCACTCTGGCTGACTCACGGCATAATACTATCGAAGCATGCTCGGCATAAGATTTATCGAAAAAAGTAAGAAACGTAAGGATCCATTCGAAAAGAAACACAGGTAAACAAAGGTGACATACACAACAAAATAAGGAATCTTAAATGAAAATGGGCAGGACATGTGTCTACCCTGCAATAGATGGGCCAGAAAGATTGAGAGGGTTGGATGCCATGGGATGGGAAAAGAAATAAAGGTAGACCAAAAAGACGGAAGATATTTTTGGGAAGATTTTGTGGGACCACATGGAGAAGAGAAGTAAGAGACAGAGTTAAATGGAGAAAACTGGAGACATACGCCACTGAGGCGACTCCCACAAACTAATTAGTAACTTTAATGGGAATTTATTTGATTTTATTGTATTTAGTTGATAATGATACATTAATCGAAATGTTACGTAGGTAATAATTGAGATGACGACAGTGTATGAAAATTAAAAATATAATTAGTCCGTAAGTTAGGTAATTAAAAAATATTAGACACATGTTTTTTTATTTTGTCGTATATAATAAAAAAATACTTAGATAAAACGAATCAAAGTTTAGGAGTGGGGGCTAAAACGTCATTTCTACATAATAAATCTACATAGAAGTGATGTCATACGACATTTCAAATCAATATATCTTCGAAACTATTCGTTTCTGGAAGAAAATAAAAAAACGTGTCTAATATTTTTAAATAATCTACCAGACGGACATTAAAATAAAACTTAGTCGTCTACCCTATTGATTAATCTGCATGAGATATTATAGTAGAATAAAGACTATTTTTATTTTATTTTATTTTTATATGGCTCTCTCTCTCACTTGCCATAACAAAATTAATATTTTTAAGTATAAAAATGTCTCCTGTATTCAAAATCGACGAAGGTACCTACCTACTTAATGTTTCTGAAGTGATTATTGAATGTTCAATACAGCGAATGGGTTATTTGATCATGGTTTGGTGTCTCACAATTATATTGTTTCTAAAATTCTAACGGACTTTAGGTTTTTGATACAATTAAAACGTCAAAATTAGTTTTTTGAACGAAGCGAAACGACGGTTGTACTTACTACCAACTACCCTAAAATGGGCCACAGACGTGAGCTCGTCTATGAGTATTTTTTTAAATAATTACTGTAATCAAGCTGTAACCTAATTTTTTTAAAGTACATAGAGGTTATGGGTACCTACCGGGCCGGACTTGGCCAAGAATGACAAGACATTTACTTATATTTTTTTACCTTTCTTCACCTTCGTGGAATAAGTAAAATAAGCAACACACCACAAATTAATAATTAAAATTGACACGATAAAAACTTTATTTACAAATATTATACAATAAGAAGGCAAAGGTACAAGGCACTTATTACAAAATCATAGACGAGATCCTTAAATTTTAAATACTGAAATTCTCCTCCAATCTTCTCAAATGATCAACATTAGACTCTTGCGGTGGGCTGCTGTGACTTAAAATATTATTTTTGTAAACATCCATGCTTCTTTGAGCCATATTATTGTAAACTTCTCGCGGCAAAATTCGATTTTGGGCGGGAATTTTGACATTGGCGTTTCCTGACAAACTTAGTCCGCGGTCCATGAAGACTCTGTCGTTCGGATACACACTGGGGTTAAGAAATGGAACGTCGGGTTTTGGTAAAGTGCGAAACATATTTGTTCTGTCGATTATTTGATTTTGCGCGTTCATTGTGTTAAGAGATTTTATCCATTGCTGTTGTTGTGTCGGTGGGACTCTGTTTGGATAGTTGAAGATCCAGAGACGGTCTCCGACAAACATTGGTCGGGGGCTGACGATTCCAAGGCTGCTGTAATACTGCTGCGCAAGAAGTTCGATGTCGTTTGTGTATTTTCGCTTCCATTTTGTTCGACGGTTTTGGAACCATATCTTTATCTGGAAAGAGAAATAAATTGTTGTAAAATATTTCATTAGCACCTCTATGCAAGTCATGCTGGATTTTCTTTCCAGATTCTAAAGATAAAAAAAAGACTGCCTCGTTGGCCGAGTGATCGCAAGTGCGACTGCAAGGGCAAGGCAAGTATTACAGGGATTTAAAAAAAAATCTGTAGTAGCACGGAGCCTGAAATTGTGTCCGTATGGCAATAGACTACCCCTTATTACATGGGACCCATAACATAATTAGCGATAAGTGCCGTAATGTGCACCTCTGCCTACCCTTTCGGGTATAAAAGGCGCGATGTTATATGTTATGTTATTCTAAAAATACAGTCATGAGATGTCTCTACTCTAATATTTTTGTTTTGTTACTCGTCATACCACTACTATTAAAAAAAAATTTTGCCCCTCATTAGGATTTACTACGTAAACGCACCCGCGATATAGGAATATCGCGGGTGCGTTTACAAACATACAAGTTCACATACACATGACACCCAGACCCGAAACAACAATTTGTGGATCACACCAAGAGTTATTCCGTGCGGGAATCGAACCCGCTACACGCGCCTCCGATTGCCCAGTGACCGCACCAACCATGCAGTCAATTGTTTTCGGTGTAACTATGGCATATAGTTAACACCCTGATAAGAATCCATATCCTCAAAAGATAGCTGTTGAAAAGTAAATATTATATTGCATCCTTGCCCATCCCTTCGTGGATTAAAAGTTTAACCTTAGCTATGTATTTGTTAATTTTTAGTTTTATTTAATTTTTAGTTAATTAAAGTCGTATAACATTACAGTCAATAAACCAAGGCGTTATACATTTCAAATACACTACTTGTAAAAGAAACAGAGAAAAAGACAAGTCCTTAAATGACAAATGGTAAAGATGGTCTGGGTTCGCTGTCATTGCAGCGGTAAGTTCCCTCTTTGAGAAGTGGCTTGAGAGACGCTACGGCGTCGTCACCTACCGCCTAACGCAGGTACTTACCTAACCCAAGGCGAGTCATTGGATAATTTCCCCCCTCAAAAAAAAGCTATATATGTCTGCTAACCTGTGTCTCAGTAAGTCTGAGCTGCCTGGCCAGTCTGCCTCGGGCCGCCACGGACAAGTAGCGGTTTTTCTCAAACTCTGCTTCCAAACTCTTGATCTGCTGCGCACTGAATGCTGTCCGTGCTCTCTTTCCGCGGGATGAGCATGATCCTGAGAAAGAAAGAAATTTAATCATCATCTTGTAAAAATATAGAAAAAAAGTAATTTTAAAAGTGGGACGCTTTTAAGGCAGTTAGCGCAGCTTGCACTTTCTTGACTAGTTTTACTGGCTGCCGAGTCCCCAAGCGATCACCGGTGATCGCTAGCCGCCTACTCCATTATAGACTTTATTTCCGAGAGATTACTTTTGTAAGAACACATGTTGTGAATTTTTCATAATCGTGGATAAGAAGAGAAGCTAGACTTCTTACGACGACTTTCCTAAAATCATCATCATCATCTTAGTCTGGGATCTCCGCGATCTGGACTATTCATGTTTGTAAGTATTTATTTTTTTAGTAAGCATATTATAATATCTTCGCATGCGTGCAGACCATTTAACGCACATGTGTGTAACTGCGTAGCATGTCTTTTCATGAAAAAACGAACAATGATATTCTCCAAACGGATATAAAAATAAGCATCTTCTTTCATAGGTATAGGTAGGCTACCTAGACATATATATTATTATATTGGTAAATCGTGGGAAGTGTGAGAGAGCCATGCTTGGGCACGAATGGGCCGGCTCGACCGGGGTGATACCACGGCCTGAATTAGTCATCAAATTCCTAATCCTAAAAGATCGGTAATTGTATTGAGATTGCGATACAAATGATCATTTGTATCGCAATCTCGGAGTCTCCAAAAATTTGCAAATTCCTAATACCTAAAATGCCGGTAACGCACTTGTATTACATTTGGTGGTTCGGGTGTTCATGGCTGTCCATGACCCGAAACACCTTGGTCAGTTGATTCGTCTGTTCGTTTACGGCTTATCCCATAAAAAACCTGATACATTTTTACACTTTGACTCTAATAAATATTCATCCATCCGTCTAGCTAGACATTAAAACCGTGAGAGACCATACTAAGTTTCCAGAAATCGGAATCCAAGTACTATATTTTTCACTCGTCTAGGTTTGTAACCCAATGTTCGCACGGCACATCAATTTGCTAACTATAATAGGTGCATTGCCAGTGTTGACGAAGTGACGAGTGATTAGTGACAGTTGTGAATCGTTATCTATTAACTGCAGATTGATTGCAGATGCTCTCATACAAGCCAAGTATTCAACGGCCAGTGCTTTTGGCGAGAGCCAAGGTAATTTTTTTACAAAAATTTAACCCTACACTAGGATTTTCCGCGGTGTCGTGAGTGCGCTTACAAACACATCGCATTCAGAGGCCTTAGTACGAGTTTGATTTACGTTTTAAGTATTCGAAACGAGTATGCGTTCGGCGCTCTAATTGGCCGCGAAACAAACTCGTACTAAGGCCTCTGAATGCGATGTGTTTGTAAGCGAGGATGCAGAACAACTATAGGGGATTTGCCGGGGTATGAATTATTAAAAATGTAATTAGTCCGTTGGTTTGATAATGAATAATATATCATCGAACGTATTTAATTTTGTGAGAAAAGAAAAATACTTGTCTAATATTTTAAATTAATCTACCAGACGGTCATTAAAATAAAATTTAGGAATCTACCCTATTTTGCCCGGTATATGTCAATAGGCTTACCCCTTATTACATGGGACTTATAAATAGTGAAAAGTGGGTGTTACATTATACAGTAGCATTAAGCGTCGTAATGTGCACCTCTGGATACACTAGTTGTGGATCAAATAAATTATTAATCCACCGTGTTTGAACCAAACCCGCGAGACACTGCGGAGTAGCAGGTTTTCTAGCAAATACGACAGTCGTGCAGACAAAATGCATGATATTTTTTTATTACTATTTCGACCTTAACTTAAAGTACTTTATTTAAAGTTTATTTATTTGTTATTTAAGGACTTGACTAATAATACAAATTAAATTATGTTTAAGTACCTAAATCTTTAACTGCTGAATGAAAACATTTGAAAGTACTGCACGGTTGGTGCAACCGGCTGCCGTGCAACGTGTCGCGGGTTCGATTCCCGCACGGAACAACACTTTGTGTGATCCACAAATTGTTGTTTCGGGTCTGGGTGTCATTGTGTATGTGAACTTGTATGTTTGTAAACGCACCCACGACACAGGAGAAAATCCTAGTGTGGGGCAACGTTTAAAAAAAAAAAAAGAAAAAAAAGTGTTAAAGACGAAGAATATTTTTAGCCTTTAACTCCGGTCACCGGTGATGGAGGTGGTAGCTAATGCGTGATACAATCTTAATTGTTAGGTACTTACAGTCATGGAAAGACCTAAAATATAATTACTTTTTCAAACTACCTAATTGTGGTACATTTAATTTGCTACGGAAGTCATTTCGAGCGGACATGGAGATCGAAGCAGACACGTCTTGTCGTCACCTTACAGTTATTTTCAATAAACACCTCCTCGCTTTGAGTAATTAGCGGTAATATATCAACATGTCAAACAAGCGACACGCCGCCATCTTGGAATTGAGAGGACCGAGCGCCACACTAAATATCCGAACGCACTAATGAGCGCGCCAAAATAAAAGTCATCTTTTTATTTATTATCTTCATAAACTTTGCAGACAATTTAATTAAATGGTAGAGTTATGTGATATTTCTCTCAATTTTACATGTTCAGCGTTTGTTAAGTGGTCGCAATGGAGTCCACTGAGCAATTATTGAATGTGGATTTTGAGGGCCGGATTGAGCAATTTATTAGGTACCTTTTTTATAGTTTTCGCTCCTGTTGGATTTGCTGTGTAATGTAAATGTAATTTTACATTACTTAAAAAATAAAAAAATAAAGAAACATAAAGTTCGACTACACTACTACGGGTTAGGATTGTGCTGGACCATCGTCTGTAATGCGATGTATTAGAGTAAAGTCTTCTTTGTCTAATCCACAAATTCTTAGCCCGGATCCGATGAAATGTGCATGCTTAACCGCAATACTGAAGAAAATTCTAGTCAGTAGGAACGATTTAAAAAGTATTGCATGACGCGGGAAATGTCTACTTTTAAATCTCTATACATTACTTATTTTGTAAATAACAGAATTTATAGTCGACATCAGTAGCAAGCATGATATAGATATCTTTTGTACAAGCCTTAGGAAAGCTAGAAATATGATAAGTGGAGACTTTTTTATTGGTGGTTTTTTTATTTTATGGTATTACCTATATTTTATTTATTTTAAATATGTATTCACCTTTTTTTTTTCTTTATTCTAATAATTTTCTTGCTGTGTGCCTGTTTTTAATGTATTTATAATTTTAATTTTGTCTTAGCTGTTACCTATTAAGTCAGTATTTGTGTGAATCTGTAAGTGGCTCAGTGTTACTATTTTTCTGCTAAATCTATGTAATGCAGCTGTTGATTCACCATTCAATAAATAAATAAATAAATATAAAAAACCCGGGACAGGCCACTGCTGGACTACGAGCGTCCTCTACATAAGGAATGTTGTTTAATGTTTCTTAATGCTTGGCAGACGGATTGGAGTACGCACGTTTAAAGTTTCCGTTTTATCAGAAAGCGCTGCTAACTGTTGCTGAACAACAGGCATACAATAAAGTAAATGTCATTGTGGAGGTAAATAAATTCATGTCAAAATATCATAAACCTGTTTGCTGAAAAATAAATAATATTTTTCATATTCATCGCCAATGTAACACGGATATGAACAGAAATGATGGCATAAATCTAAAGAATTATTTTATAAGTGGTGGCATCATTTTTCAAATGCTTCCGTTTATAAAAAGGTTTTTTTTTTAAATACTATACGCATATTTACATGACACGACGATGATTTTCACCAGAAAGCGAAGGGCAAAGTCAGTAAAATGTACCTATATCCCACTTTCCATCAGGAATAGGTTCCATTTTTTTTATGGCATAAGCCGGTAAACGAGCAGACGGATCACCTGATGGCAAGCAATCGTCGGCGCCCATGGACACCTGGAACACCAGAGGCGTCACAAGTGCGTTACCGGCCTTTTTGGGATTAGGAGTTTGAGGATCGTTGGGGATTCAGGAATTGGGAAGATTTGGGAAGTCCCCTTCCTCAATTAATATAGGTAATTGGGCCTCCGGTAACCTCACTCACACGACGAAACACAACGCAAGCGTTGCTTGACGTCGGTTTTCTGCTCGGCCGTGGTATCACACCCGTCAAGCCGGCCCATTCGTGCCGAAGCATGGCTCTCCCATACTAAAAAGAGTCCCATTTGGTAAGTCGCGACGTTTTTTAATCATTGTGCGCAACACTGTTTATTTCCAACCAGGCAATCGAATACCAGACCATTTGACAGTAGCGCCAACTATTTCTTTCTAAGCAATAGGGCATCGATAATTTTTATAACCTGTCTACTTTATTAATAATAAAATTAAATCTACGAATGAGTTATGGTCATGTAATATTAAGCTAAATCGAAAGCAAATTCGTAATGCAATTCTTTGTTTACTGATTAAATGTATCCGATCGTATTGAAACATCAAACATTGCTTACACCAAACAGGATACCAGACGCAATACATCAAATCGCCCGCAATAACGTAGAAAGTAAATTAATTAGCGCCTAAAATAATCCTATTGCCGTCAAAAACGACAGTCGTAACACGCCTGCGAACCGCTCTGACACTGGTAAGGCAATTAATGTCAATTTATCCTCGCTTGTCAACGCTCCATGTCTTTGTTTCCCGCCATTGTGAACCCCGCACTCCTAGATTTACTGACAAATTATCTAATTAACATTTCTAAGCCGTAGAAATAAAGGCTATTTTCAAATGACATCTAGCTGTCAAACGATAAGAGTAAAGTTGTCGTGTCGCTATGACGTTTGGCTCATTCGGATACACACCCATCCGTTGTCTCGTAATAGAATTTTACAGCTTTTTAATGAGCTCAGGCCACTTACTAAATTTCAGTGGTGGGACGTTTTCTTTTCATGTTTATTTCCTTTTTTTTCTAACGGGTGAATAATTACGAGGGAGAAAGATTTAGCTAACGAGTGCCGGGACGCGCGGAGATTTATCTTTTCGTAACAAATT